AACCATAATTGACATTTAAAGTTAAGTTTAAAACTGGCCTCAAAACATAGTCCTCAAATAAGTTCTTGTTCTTGTTTGCTTTTCTGTACTTTGCAACACTTTCCCATGTTGTTTATATTTGTCCTCATATGTTGACGGACCTCTGAGGCCTTACATCCATACTTTGTTGATAGCTGTAAAAAGACAAATACATTTATTTTATGTCTACCATTCCAATGTGTTTTGTTAACCCATTAAATATGCCCAAATGCACCCAATTTATTATTTTACTCTAAGTGGAGAGTCTAGCACTTTAATAGAATAAACACAGTAAAATAACAAAGTACTAAAAGTAGGGCACATTGCTTCTAAATATGCCACACAGCAGCTTTTGCAGTTAATTATTAACCTTTCAATGACCAACATTCATTTTGATGAGTAAAATCATCTGATAAATATCAAAGTACTGAAAGTGGGGATTGAGTGTTAGGGTGAATTGCATCTAAATGTGCTAACACCAAATAATGCAAAATAGTCTGGTATTAACAGGGCAAAATATTGAGCTTTGAAATAGAGCGCATTAGTGTGAATTTGTGAATTGGGTCTTAATGAGTTTACACAAAACACAGGGAGACAGCAAGGTAACCTATCAAAGTTGTCCACTCTCTTTCAAGTAAAATGATCTGGTGTTAGACAAGGTAAAATAAAAAAGTACTGAAAGTTGAGCACATCCATCTTAACAAGTTAGCATGAAATGTAAGCTAGCAGAGAGTCTGGTTAATTTGAATACCATCACATATTTATGTTTATAAACTGTGGTTTAATTAATAGAAAAACATGGATAATTTTCCTGGCATAATCTCTAAAGCATGTCTAAAGGCTAACAGATTTTAATACATTGACTGGTGCAAGACCTCTCAAAATGAAAATTGTTTAATTTAAACAAAACATATGAATAAATACTGCTGCTGATTTGAGCAAGTAGTTAAATTTTCTATAGGCATGCATTAAATATGGCTGACAATTTACAATTAATCTGGCATATACAGTTGGCACTTGGGATATACAAATATATTAATAAACATGGATAAGTCTGATTCAAATATAAGACTTTTATAGTAGCATTTGTTGAAGTATAAATGCTATAAATATATTTATATCAGCATTCTAATTCCGTTTATATTGTCGCGGCAAATTCAAATTTTATCGAACCATATGCTCGAATTTCACAAATGAAGATTGGAGGTATTTCCTCTATAATTTGCTTTATTATAAATAAAATATAAACTTATTCTTACCTGAACATTATGCAAACATCCCTGATGTATTACTAGTGAAAATCCAGTTGAATCCCATCAAAAATAGTTCTATTTTGCACATAAACCATTGACAAACACTGACTTGAACAAATATCGGAGGTGTGATGATCTATCCCTTGATGCTTTGCGCGCGTGGCAAGAAAACTAGACACCAGTCTGTCAGTCGCGCACATTGCGGTAATTTTCATTTAATCTTAGAAAATAAATAGTCCCAGTATTAAATTCTCTATTAATAAATGTCTATGAGTAAAATATGATATAGGAATAGTGTAGTTGTATAAGAAATTAAAATTCCTATAAGAATTCTCATAGGATATGATAATGGTGAAAAAATTCCTATAAGAAATAGAAATTCCTGTAGGAAGCTGTAGGAAGGAGTTATTTCGTAAATTATATTTATCTGTATAATTTTTTATATAAGTAAAGTTCTTATACCCATGCATGTATCAGGCCATAGTGGTATAGGCTATGAATTTTTCCCACCATTTTCCAATCCTATAAGAATTCCTAAATTTCAAATCCTACAGGAATTTTCATTTCCTATAGGAATTCCTATAGCCATTTTCCAATCCTATAGGAATTCCTACAGGAATATTTTTTCCTATAGGAATTTTTTCACCATTTTCAATTCCTATAGGAATTCCTATAGGAATTTTCAATGCCAATAGGAATTCCTATAGGAAATTTCAATTCCTATAGGAATTCCTATAGGAATTTTCAATGCCTATAGGAATTCCTATAGGAATTTTCAATGCCTATAGGAATTCCTATAGGAAATTTCAATTCCTATAGGAATTCCTATAGGAATTTTTTTGACCATTTTCTATTCCTATAGGAATTCCTATAGGAATTTTCAATGCCAATAGGAATTCCTATAGGAAATTTCAATTCCTATAGGAATTCCTATAGGAATTTTCAATGCCTATAGGAATTCCTATAGGAAATTTTAATTCCTATAGGAATTTTCAATGCCTATAGGAATTCCTATAGGAAATTTCAATTCCTATAGGAATTTTTTTGACCATTTTCAATTCCTATAGGAATTCCTATAGGAATTCCTATAGGAATTGAAAATTCCTATAGGAATTCCTATAGGAATTTTCAATTCCTATAGGAATTCCTATAGGAATTATGATTTCCTATAGGAATTCCTATAGGAAATTTTCGTAAGGGATATTGTTTACAGATGGTCTTACCTTGTACAAAAATCATTTGACATGTTATTACATGACATGTAGCTGCTGGTAAGTTATAAATATGTGCAAACAACAATCCACACTGGGTTGTCTATATAGGAATATCTTTAACACAACATTCCGCATTTGTTTTTAAAACGTGCTGAAAGCACATCGACATCTAGAATGAACACTATATATAAACTCATCACCTTGGCACATCGCCACACAAACAAATAAACTAAAAGTATATAGTTTACTTGCATTTGCAAAAGCATCCCACAAGGCTACTGATATGCTAAACGTATTTAAAACTATGATTATTCCCATCATTTGCCCATATCACACATTTGACTGTTGACTCAGTGACAACTTTAATTGAAATATTTGTATAGGATATGTTATGAATAAGCACAACAACGTTGCATCATTGAACAGACGCATTTTATCCCCATCCGTTCCGTATTTTATCCCCATATCCGTTCCATTGATCCGCTCCATCCGCTTCTGCATTTTAACCTAATTCTGACATGTTTCACAACAACAAGCAGTGTGACCAGATTTGGTAAAACTTAAAACGTGTTTGTTTTTTAAAACATGCATGCTGAAAGCATATTGACATCTAGAATTAACACTATATATAAACTCATCGTCTTGGCACATCGCCACACAAACAAATAAACTAAAAGTATATAGTTTGACTGCTTGTATACTACAAATCTCGCTATAAATATAAACTTTAATTAAGACGATCAGTGGCCGTGGAAGATTAATAAAACATGCTATTCATGAAATCATATTGTTTTAATACCTCTATATCAACACTAAACAGCAGATCTAAATATAAATGCCTTCATGTATACACATGAAAGAAATAAAGCTATCCTTACCTGAATTATTCAAATTATTATCGATCGTATTGTAAAAGTACATACAAAAAACAAACAATCGTTGAATGCTCGGCCTGACGACAATTTCCGAAATTCATCATGTATAACAAAAAACCATAGACGACAATTTCCGAAATTCATCAACTTGACATCCTATTTTTTAGGTATATAACACAATACAAAAATGAGGAAAATTGAACCATGGGAATTCTAGATATTTTATTTTAAACATTGTAAACATATATAGACTCAAGTCAACATGCAGTGGGGAGTCGTCTAACTTCAAACATCAAAATAACATTGAAAATAATGTTTACCTCTGAGATTTTTGCAGATATCACCAGATATTCAGCAGTACTACAACTGCACTTGAAATGTTTCAAGAAAATTTTAATATTTTTCTCAATTTATTTTCCATCGAATGCAAATTTTTTCTGCTGAAATTCTGCAGATAACACAATGGAAAATAGAGCGATTTCATTGGTCAAGAGCTCATGTGACAACTTGCTAATTGCTTGTCCAACTCTCCTCTGGTAACACTCTGTATATAATTCCCTTTGTAATAATAAAATATCATATATTGGCAAACTATTCATGTGTGAACAGGGGCGTACATATCGATTTTGTGTGGGGAGGTGCTTAGCAAAAAATGAGACTGACTTATGCACCGTTCCCTAATATGAGTGGCGCAACCATGCACAAGCCCAGCGGGTCCCGGGGCATACTCCCTGGGAAATGTTTGAATGTAGAGTCACAGAGTAGAGACATACAGAGACGTAACTAGTGTACCCACTGTTTTTGTGTTTGCCAAGCACAGCAAGTTACTAGATGCATGCATCTGATTGGATGACGACTCACTTTAAACTTGCAGAGCACTCGCAGTTGATCATTTTTTCGACCGGTCGCCTGAAAAAATGTGGGTACATGATAACGTAATCTTCCACAGTGTTTACGACGGTCAGTTACATCTCTGTATGTCTTACCTACTCTGTGGTAGAGTCCCTGAAATGCCATTTACTGAATTGGGGGGGGGGATTTTGCAGAATTCTGATGGTCAGAAAACGCTTATAACATGAGCAAAATTGAGTAGTACAGTACGCATTGGAATTCATATTTATTTAAGTATTTTGCAAGAACGTTGCAAAGTACTGCGAATCTGTGACAACTTATGAAATTGATATTAATGACATCATTTGCATGGACCTTTATCATTGATATATTGTTGTGGCAACTATACATGAATTAGCAAAGATTTGACTATGTCCTCATATTTTCATCGAGCGTCCGCGCTTAGTCAAGTTTGACCACTGATCGGCGATTTTGTCAAGATCGATTGTGTCCATCAGGTCACGCTCACATGCAAGAGTCAATAGTTCATTGAGGTGTTCCTGTTTCATTGCTGAACGCATAACAGTTTTTACTAATTTGAGCTTTGAAAAACTGTGTTCAGCAGATGCGGATGTTACAGGCACTGTAAGCAGCAATTTGAAACATCATTTGCATTTCAGTGGAAACAGTGTTTCACTCCGGGTTTTCAGATAAACTAGGACGTTGTTGACTGATTCAATTTCCTTGTGGTTTTCACTCAAATGGCGTCGGAACGTGGTCAGTTCAGCCTGCAAGGTATCCTCATCTTGTCACATCAACTCTGGAAACATAGCACAGAACCGTACCAATTCTGTATTGTCGACTGGGCCAATGTAGGGTGGTTGAAGCAAGGTCACGGCCGGTTGAAGGATATTTGTAACAGCCTCCAGATTTGCCTTTATTGCATTTATTTGGGCATCAAGTACCGCAAAAAATTCTTTCCTGTAATGCTCCACCAGACAAAGATTGGCTGCAGTTTCAGGGTGATCGTCGATACGGTGAGGCTTCTTGCGTTGGCGGTGATGCCTGTTATATTCGTCATCAGGATCGATGCCATGTTGTTCGGCCACAGACTTAGTCGCCTGTATCTGATTTTCCAGGCCCTCACTGTCATTGCGGATGTGTTCGAGCATCGTAATGGTTGCTTTGAAATTTTCGATGGTATCAATTATATTCATGTCGATGCTTTGAACTTCTGTAGTCAAACACTTGGTCTTACCTATGACGTTTTTCATGAACATCAACATCACCAAGAAGTTGAATGATTTCATCTTATCCTGCAATGCTCCTGCCTTTACTCGTGTTTTTGTGTCGTACTTGGAGTCGGTCAGGACCTCAAGGACTTCTAATACGACTGCGTAGGAGCTCCATATGGCACAAATAGATTCTTTGTGTGCTACCCAACGTGTGGCCGACAGATTGCGAAGCATCAACAGTTCTTCGTCGGATTGTTTCACTTTCTCTCGGTAAACATCGAATCGCTTAGTGCTGGATGTGACTGAAACTAAGAGCTCTTGCAATAGCTCAAAAAGTGCACATACTGGTACACTCACCTCCACTGACGTATTTATTCTGTGGGGCGTGCAGGGTATATATGGAATGTCACATTTAAGATGAGTTTGCATCTTTGTTTGACATCCCCTGAATACACCTGACATAGATGCAGTGAAGTCGTACGATTGGAAAGCAATACGTCTTTATCAAGACACTTTCTGTCGAGTGATGCGATAATCGCCAGCGCTTGCCCATCTCTGGTTTTATCATTGATGTCTTTGATGTCGACCAAGTGTTCAGTTGGAAGACCCGGAATCCGGACAAACATATCGAGCCGCTACTGCCATTTGATCAGTGTGAGACACGTCAGGGGTCGTATCAGCAATCATGCTCCACATTGCAGATCTATTTACCTCTTCTGTCACTCTGTTGGAAACATCTTCACCAAGCAGCTTGATATATTCATTTTGGGACTTTGGAAAAAGATATCTGGCAGCACGAGGATGTTTGGGGGCATCAGCTAGCCACCGTTTGAAGTATTTTACAACCGAATACTAAACTATTTGAATAAAAATGAAATTCTATATGCAAATCAGTATGGTTTTAGAAAGGGTCATTCAACTGCATCAGCCCTTCTTGATTTATACGACAAAATATCTGAGGCAATTGATAAAAAGGAAGTCGCGGTTGGAGTTTTCTTAGATCTGTCTAAGGCCTTTGACACGGTGAACCATAACATTCTTTTTGAAAAATTGGAGTATTATGGTGTACGTGGCATAGCGCTGAGTTGGATAAAAAGCTATTTTTCTAATCGGAAACAATTTGTTCAGTTTAATAATTCATTTTCTACCTCGAAGAATATAACCTGTGGAGTACCACAGGGGTCTATTTTAGGTCCTCTTTTGTTTTTGATAAAAATAAATGATATTTGTAATGTTTCGACCCTTGCAAAACTGATCTTATTTGCTGACGATACAAGTTTGTTCTTTTCTCATAGGAATCCGGTTTACTTGGTAAATATGATAAACCAAGAGCTGGAAAAATTCTCGATTTGGCTTAGGACAAATAGATTATCTTCAAACTTGGATAAAACAAAATTTATGATTTTTAAACCTAGACAAAAATTATTGGAATTAGATGTGAAACTATTATTAAATGATAGACATATTGATCAAGTGGAAAAAATCGTTTTCTTAGGAGTTATTTTAGATGACAAACTTTCTTGGAAATCTCATATTAGTCATGTGTCAACAAAGATTTCAAAATCAATAGGAATAATACGTAAATCTAGTTTTTTTTCCTTTTGAAACAATCATTGTTTACTTTGTATTACTCATTGGTGTACCTATACCTGCAATATTGTTTGGGCATCTACGTATGCATCCAACCTGTTTCGTTTGGTAGTTCTTCAGAAACGTATTGTTAAAATTATGAATAATAGTACATTTGATTCTCATACAAGCATGATCTTTAAAAACCTTCGATTATTGAAATTTAGTGACATATGTAAATTGCAAACATGTCAATTCATGTTTTTGTATAAAAAAATTTTGTACCAGAACATTTTAAAAATATTTTCCTATTAAATAGCCAAATACATAATTACAATACTAGAAGAGCAAATGAATTTCACATTGTAACTCCTAGAACAAATCTACGTCAATTCTCTATAAAATACCAAGGCCCATTTCTCTATAACAGTTTAGACAATGATATTGTGAATAGTGTATCGCTTTCTTCCTTTACAAAGAAATTAAAAAAACTTTTCTGCTCCATGTATAATTAACTAAGCTTACCATTGTTATTTATTTTGAAATAAGCTTATAATTAGTGTGAATTCTCAAACGAGAGGGGGTTTGATAATTTTAATAAGCCTAATTGGTTTCCTATATCAAACCTCCTCGTCACATAGGCTTTTAAGTAAATATTTATTATTTTGTTTGATAACATCTTTCTTGTTATTATTTAACTTACATTATTTGACATTTTTTGTAAATAGTTGTTGTGTGTGACAAAATTTATTATTAAACAATATTAAACCGTTTGAAAGATGGCACATGTCTTGAAAGCAACTGCACAAACTGATTGAAATTACTGTTCCCTTCATTTTCTTCACTAGATTCACGCATGGCCAAGCCTTGACGTGCAAATGTTCTAGTGATATTGAGCATAATTTTGATCGCATGTCTGTTATGTTCGATCTCTGCTGCACTATCAATCATCTCTTTTCGCTGAGCTTTATCCATCAAGAAGTCAATGTGTTATGTGTCCTCTTGGATCGACGAAATTAGCCAACTGCTGTAGCGCGGCTTTGTGACTACTACAACCAAAATGAGCAGATAGCTTCCCTTTCTTCTTTTGTCTGACACTTTTCATCTTGTCCCACACATTCTGACCGTCTTTAATCCAAGCATCCCTGGCGTCAGATTGAGGGAATAACTGACACAAAGCAATAAGCTTTGTCTGTGTGGAGGGAATATTCTAGGTACTGATACTGTTTGAACCATTCTGATGAAAACGTAAATTGTTTTTTCTTATCCTTTACGTTAGGATTTCTAGGATAACGTGCGAGTTTGGGCTGGAAAGGGCCTTGTTCTATCAGGCAAATCCTGTCTGTGTCAGACATTATATTCCGCCTCTTGCCCGGGTCACGTTTGATAGGAGCATTATCCAGAGGGTTGTTAGATTTTTCTTCATATGGAACATCATCAAGCTTTGTCAGTTCATTGACAGCCATCTTGAGTAAAGATGAACTCTGAACATTTATTCTCTGAACAATATCCACCAAATCACCTAGTAAGTGCTTTGAGGCATCAGCATTATCGGCAGTTGAAAGCAGTTCTTGACATTCGCCAACAGTAGATGTTAAATGCCGTAATTTGCCATTACATGTAATCCAGCATTCAGTAGAATTCTCAGTTGCAATATCGGTGTCTTCAGTACTAGAATCCGAACTATCAGAACTTTCAGAAGTAATTTTGTCAACTTGATCATCGTGATTCACGTTTCGTTGCTGCTCTGGTGATGGCTTATCAACCATTTCTTCATCACTTGTCATCTCATGCTGCTGCTCAATCTCTGGCTTGTGGATCATTTTCACATGTCTCGTGAAATAGGGCCTCGAATTCTATGGGTGCCTCAGGTTGATGCTCTTCATCCAATGACTGGTCAGACTGAGTGTCATTGGGAGGTGAACGTGATTGGCGACTTTGCTTGTTCTTGTACATGAGATACAAAGAGTGCAGAAAGTGTAGATTGGTTAGATTCTCTACATACCGTGGTTGGGATGGTGGTAACGTTGTAACTGGGGTGGGAAGTGCAGCAGTGCTTACTGGTATAATCGTTATTGAACGTTGACCCACAAATTCCACACTTGACTTTGTAACGTCTTTCCAACAGGCATCTGGAAGTAACATACAGTTTAGCCTAGTGATCACCTAGTGTGGCTTGGCCGTTGGATTATATACGTTTTATGTATATATTTCTACTGGGTTGAGTAAAAATTCTTAATTTAATAAAGTTCAATATATCGACTTTACATTTAATAATTTAAAGTTTATTTATGTATTTCTGAAACGTTAACAAAGCTCACCTTTCCTTTCTCCAATCCAAAAGATAAAACTATGCTTCCGATAACTTCTTACCAACTGCTCGACTAATATTATTCCGTTTATTCATATTTGACAATCAAGAATATATTTTGAAATATCAATATCTTCGTAACAAGCTCTCTCGATTTCTTAGACCAACATACTCATAACTGAATAAGAGTGAAAAACATTTTTTTATACATGACAAGGTTATTTTACACTATTTTTATACTATAATTTTGTGTGACGTATACAATTTAGGTTGCACCTATTCACAATTATGATGTGTGCACACGCCTATAGGAAGGGTGTTTTCGCTTTATCTAATTAGAATTAACAGCGCCTTCGCAAGTATAGAACGTATGCACGCGACATGTCACAGCCTAAAGATACTATGGTCTATGAACATCCCGAAAATTCTGATGTCCGCGAGGTTTATGCTGAATATTAATGCTGCCCGTGTGGTTTATGCTGACAATGTGATTGAAAGGGTTTTATATACCCACTTCAGTGATAACAAAAGTGTATCGTGTTACACCGAACATACTCATCTCAAATTTAAATAATAAAATTTCACAATTTTTTAGTTGCGTTGGTTTTGAGCCTACGGAATATAAAATCTGAATGTATAGGAAGCTTCCAAAGGTATTTTAATTGAGATTTAAAAGTATTGTGGAGACCGGAGTCCGACGTCTAGGGTTGATAAGTTCAGCTGCTAATACTGAATATCCTGTGCAAATGACCTAATTGACCTTTATAATATCATCTAATCTAATCTAATCGTAACATCTTAAAGTTAAACTTTCCATACGTACAAATGAAATGTTTCTTGCCGTAACTACTCTAAAGCAGAATTCCGGCAAAGTGCTGTGACTTTCATGGCTGATATTGAAGCCATGTTCCACAAACTCCACTCAAAGATTGTGATGTGCTACGTTTCCTGTGGTGGCCGAATGGTGACACATCTATTAATCCAGAAGAATTCCAGATGACAGTTCATCTTTTTGGCATGGAGACAATAAACACTCTAGAAAGAAACTTTTACATTGACAATTGCTTGAAATCGGTTGAAGATGAAGAAACAGGTATCAATCTCGCAAGCAATCTCTACGAACTTCTGCAGAAAGGTGGCTTTCGTTTAAAGAAGTGGATGTTTGTTGTGAGAGGTGTTAGAATCCTACCAGAAAGTGAACGAGCAGCTACGGTGAAAGACCTGGATTTTAACAAAGTTCACGTAGAATGAGCACTCGGTGTACATTGGGATATCGTCTCTGATAAGTTTGGCTACAAGATAACTATCAAGGATCGACCAGCAACCAGACGAGGCATTCTCTCCGTGGTGAGTTCCATCTACGATCCCCTCGGATTTGTCTCACCATTTGTCCTTTTGGCTAAAACCATATTACAAGACCTTTGTCGAAGCAACTTAGGATGGGACAAACAAATTTCTGAAGATGCACTCCATCAATGGCAGAATTGGCTAAGCATGTTACCCGAACTTGAAAGAATCATTATCGACCGTTGTTTCAAACCTACTGATTTCAGAGAGATCACTTCATGCAAGCTGCATACATTCTCTGATGTTTCCCAAAAAGGCTATGGCACATATCTACGAATACTCAACCAATGAGGAGACATCCATTGTTTCTTGATTGGCAAGTCTCAATTAATAGCGCAGTTGAATGCTATGATGATTCACAGATTGGAACTGTCTGCCGCCTTAGTTGCGACAAGGCTCAATAAGATGATGAAAGGAGAGCTCGACATGAAAGTTGATGAACCCGTATTCTGGACCCGTATTCTGCTGTCCAGCACCTGCGTTTTGAAATACATTGGCAACGAGAGCACAAGATTCCAAACCTTCATAGCCAATAGAGTATCAAAGATTCAAGATGCGACTAAATTGTCTCAATGGAAATACCTGTTCAAATCTGGCAGATGACGCTTCTCGAGGATTAACTGCAAAGGAATTATTGGAGGAAGAATGTTGGTTGAAAGGACCAGACTTCCTCTGGAAATCCCTCGAACACTGTCCAAACCAAGAAGAAATGAAGTCTGATATTCCTGAATGCGATCCAGAAGTAAGAAGAAACGCCACAACAACTTTGACGACAACTGCTAGCGTCTCGTCTGATGATGAACGTGCCAGCGATATGTGTTCCTGATTCGAGAAATTCTCTTCCTGGAAACAGCTCAGGAAATCAATTGCATGGGCAATCCGCTACGTGAAACAGCTTCAGGAAACCGTACGAAAGCCAAAGAGTGGTGAAATGATCAACATGTCAAAAGAAAAGAAAGAAAAACTGGCACCGATAAAGCTTGAGGAAGTGGAGAATGCTGAAAGGTTCATCCTCAACATGGTGCAAATCACCAGTTTTCACTGCATTGAAACAAAATAATGGGAACTTGAAAAGATCTAGTCCGATAAACAAGCTAAGTCCAAAAATCATCAATGGTCTCTTGTGTGTTGGAGGCAGATTGCATCATGCACCACTTGAGAATACAGCCAAGCACCAAGTCATTCTACCTAAGAGCACCATGTGGCTACTCTAATTGCTCGTCACCATCATCAATTATCTGGACACTCAGGTCTAGAATATGTTCTATCCTTAACATGACAGAAGTGTTGGATAGTCAAAGGCAGACTCCTAGTTCGAAGGGTGGTCAATGATTGTTTCGACTGCAGGCGCAGACAATCACCGGTGGCAGAGCAGAAAATGGCTGATCTTCCGAAGAGTCGAGTAACCCCGTCAAAACCACCATTTACTTTCACTGGCGTGGACTGTTTCGGATCATTCAATGTATGACGCGGGCGGAGTTTAGTTAAAAGATATGGTGTGATATTTACTTGCCTGACAACACATGCAATTCATATCGAAGTAGCATCGAGTCTTGACACTGATTCATTTTTGAACACTCTAAGACTATTCGTAGCCCAACGTGGAAATCCAGAAGAAATCAGATCGGATAACGGAGGAAATTTTGTAAGTGGAGAGAAAGAATTGCAAAGTTGTATTAAAGAATGGAACCAAGATAAGATACATCAACTTCTATTACTGAAGAATATCAAGTGGATTTTTAACCCACCCACTGCATCCCATCACAGCGGCATTTGGGAGCGATGCATCTGTACAGTGACGAAGGTGATGAGAGCGCTGCTTCATGAACAGACTCTGAATGATGAAATCCTTCATACGTTGATGTGCGAAGTTGAAGCTATCATAAATGGACGACCATTAACGAAAGTTCCTGATGACCCGAGAGACGGTGAAGCTCTAACCCCAAACTACCTGCTGCTATTACGTGCAGGTCCCCCACTTCCACCCGGCAAATTTGTGAAGAAAGATTTGCAATGTGCGCCACAGATGGCGACAAGTACAGCATATGGCGGACGTGCTCTGGCGGAGATGGCTGAAGGAGTATCTTGCGATATTGCAAGGATGACAAAAGTGGAATCAACCGAGAAAGAACGTAGAAGTCTGTGATGTCGTACTTCTACTTCAAGAGAATACACCACATAGTTTGTGGCCTTTGGCTTGTGTGATCGAAGTTCGTCATAACAGAAGTGACGGACATGTTCGAAGTGTGAATTTGAAGACTGCTACATCCATGTTGGAACGACCAATATACAAGATCGTCGTGTTGGAAGGAACACAGTGAACAACGAAGACAAGATGAGTATAAGATAACATTTACACATTAATATGATGCTATATATTATTGTTATGCATGAATTTTCTTTCAAACAGTTTGTTATTAATTTATAAAGGCACTAGTATACTGTATGCCTTTAAGAGGCCGGAATGTTAGTTTGAAATGTCACTCAAGCCTCTGGGCATACCTGTAGATTTTATTTTTGTGGAGGTAGCCAATCTTTAAATGGAGCTAGGCTATGCCACATTCTCGTACCCAGAGCCAGCCTTACACACGATCAACAGAGCATGACAAGGACGCGGTGTACGAGAATGGGTTTGCCTCAACAGTCAACTGCAGATCAAAATTTAGCCTCTGAACGAGAACAAAATGCCAAGTGTGTCAATGTCATGTTTATGCGCATATTCTGGGTATTTCAGTCTTATTTAATACAGTGGAATATAGAAGTGCATTCTGAGAGTTCTTGCAGTTATTCCAGTTAGTCAGTAACTCCTGGCTTAGATAACAAGCTCCAAATGATTTTTGGAGATGGCAACACAGCAAGTAACTTCAACCTTACATGTATGTACTGTACCTAGCGGCTATATAGGCTGATTCGCCTCGCTATACACATATTTTTGGAGTTAGGCAGTAACTCAAGGCTTAGATACCTTGTTTTTTCATGATTTTTGGAGTTATACGTAGCTCCAAATGATTATTGGAGTTAGCCGGTAACTCCAGGCTTAGATGCCTAGCTCCTAAATTATTTTTGCAGTCGTATACTTATATAGCTCCAAATCATTTTTGGAGTTAGCCAGTAACTCCAGAATTCATATTTCAACTCTTGAATTACACAAGTTACTCAAGTGTA